GGCAGCGTCGGATCGCGCTGCTCGTAGGGTGGCTGGGGCCCGAGCCGTCACTGAGTGGATGTAGGATATCAGTTTTCGGCAAACAAACAAACTCGCTCCGTACCGAGTGAGGTAACAGCAACACTACCCTGGAGAAGGCGTGTCCGGCTGCCTGGGCACTGCACCCGCCATAGGAATGACCGGCGATGCCCTGTCCGGCCTCGCTCGGCAGAGGCACGAGGAAAGCTTTAGAAACCCTCTCAGGGTGATGTGTTCCTTCAGTAAATTACTGATGCCATAACAGACTGCTGTCCCTGGCGTGACAGAACCCCCAGATTAAAGAGTGCTCTTGTACCTTGTAGTTTCTGCTTTCTCCGCAGCGCGTGCGTGTTCATTACGGGCTTCTCGATGCTCTCGGCACTAGGAAGGATTACAGACTGGGACAAGGAACCCGGTGGCATTTGACAGCTGTAGTTTATCTCATTGGCTTAAGACTCCTTCTAATGAAACGGAGGCTTTGTAACACGTTGGAATTTTAATCCTTGGCTTTCGTTCAGAGAACTGGGATGAAACAGAAGCGAAGCGAGTTCACCTGCAGTGGTTGCAAACCTTTGCTGCCTAGTCCTCAACTAGTTGGCATGACTAATAATCTGTACATTAGGCAAGACCATACTGAAACCTGCTTGCGTGTTCTAAACCAAGATTTAAGAGTATTGTAACAAATCTATGTGGAATGATTGTGTAGTTTCTGTTTCTAGCCAGCATCAGTCCCCTCACTTTCTGCGACAGGAAACCAAATCGGCGTTGGCTAGAAAGAGGGTGGAGTGAGGGTAGCAAGGCCACAAGTTTGGGTTGGTTATTAGTTCCAGCTTAGCTGGTGGAACAGATACCTCAGCACCCTGGAGGAGGGGGAGGAGGAGGAGAGTATCTAGTACCCCAGCAGAGCCTTGTGGCGATGCATCGATGACAGTGGATGTTGAGAACAAACGGCACTTCACCACACTGTGCCCACATTCACCTTCGAGAGGAGTGCCCAGGGGTTTCCTGGGTCTGTGAGATCCTTCTGGAACCCGAGTGTGTTGCACTCGGTGGATTGGGATGTCACTTTTACTGAATTTTATAGAGGTATTTTCTAAGTGTAAAAAGTATCTTTAGTTTGAAATTATGTAATCTTTGTAACACTGGCTAATGTAGCTTTACAGCCATCAGCTTCAACACTGTGTAGGACCGAACAAAAGGGCACTGTGGGGTTTGGTAGCCAGAGGTTTCTCTTTTGATCCTGGAGCCTGTTCAGCTCCAGGCTGTCCCAGCCTGCTATGTGATGCATGGGTCATTTTTCTATTGTGTGCCAAGTTGGATGGTCAACTGTAAGGATACATACATGTCTATCCATGTACTAAGTACTTCCTGTTATTTCATTTTAATTTATTCTCTCCAATCTGTAGCTCTCCAGCTCCATGCTACACTGATTTTCCTGCGAGTCGAGTTAGCAGCAGTTTTTCTGTTTGGTTGGTTTGGCTTGTTGTTTTGGTTTCTTTACTGTAGGACAAGCAGATACTTGCTCCAACATTGGATTTAACATATGAGATTGGTCCAGCAGATATAGATGCTGCCATCAAGACAATAGGCAGCACAACATCCCTCCTGACAAACGAGGCCGGTTGTGCATCCTAGAGTGTTGAGAATGTGCATGTCGTGACAGTCGTGGTACTTTTTTACCATTGGGATGCACTTCAGGATGTTCAGCCATTTGGCCTGCTGGACTGGTTACCTGCTGGACTGTTTGACTTCTCCAGGTTACACTGAGGTGCTAACATGCTTAATTTTAATAAAGTATATTTTGTTTTCTTACGTTTCCCGTCTCCGTGTGGTGAATATATGTATTTCTGAAAGGTTGGCAGCTGTGTCTTGTTTTCTCTTTGTCATTCCTCAAGAACTCCATGGCTGGAAAAGCAGGAATATCTTTACACTCATGTAGGGTGAGGAAGAGGAGTCTGAGACTAATAGCTCTAAACCAATCTGAAACCAGGGACTTTGGGATGTGGAATTACGATTTCAAAGAAAGTACATGCAAGCTCTCCCCTACCTTAGGCTGGTTCATGGAGGGCCATGCCTTCTCCTTCCTCCATCACGCCTTAGACA